TTTGGTACTGGGGATTGAACCCAGGGTTGCTTTACCACTGAGCTACATTCTCAGTCCTTTCTATTTTTCCTTTTGGGTCTTGTTAAATTACTGAGGCTGACCTCAAATTTGTGCTCCTAYTGTCTTAGCCTCTTGAGTAGCTGGTATACCTCACCCATCTGGTGTGCCCCTCTTTTATGGGACACAATTATGATAGTTTCTTTAATTCTTTAGACATGGTTTCTTTTAGTTCTTCAAAATATTTGTAAGAGTTAATTTGAAGTCTTTGACTATGAGATTGGCCTACCTCAAAGATACCCTCTCTTGATGGCTTTCTCTCTCTGTATGGATCATACTTTCTTATTTCTCTACATTTCTCAAGTTGTTTTATTTTTTAAACTGCACATTTTAAAAAGTATTTCCTATGGAAATCGTATGCCTCCTACTCTCCCCCTGGGTTTGTTGTTATTGTAGTTTGTTGTAATTGTTTTTGTTCATTTTTTCCCCCTTTAATTTAGTGCCTTTTCTGAACTAATTCTGTAGGGTCTCTATTCTTGCCATGTTGGGMCACTGAATTCTCTATTTGGTCAGCTTATTGATTACGTAATAATTTMAGAGAATATTCCTTAAATGCTTGTGTCTTAGTCACTAAACAATATAGCTAGAACAATATCCCATAAACTGAGTAGCTTAGAAGCAACACAAATTTATTCCTCATAGTCCCAGAGACTGGGAAGTCCAAGATCAAGGATGCAGCAGATTCAGCCTCTGGTGAAGGCTCCTTCCTGGTTCATACACTAAACTCTATTTCCTCATGTGTGGAAGGGCCAAGGCAGTTTTCTCAGGAATACCTTTCCCATACATGAGTATTCTGCCTTCATGACCCTACTTCCAACAGCCCCCACCTCTTAACTACTATCCTATGTTGATTAGGCTATAACACATTTGTTTCAAGGAAGACATCTCAAACATTCAGAACAGGCATCCTAGAACCCATACATAATCTCAGMGCTTGCTGAAGGAGTCCTATCTGTGTCRGGCTATAACTTCAACTCTTACTATGAAACTGATAACTCTGTCTGGTTTTCATTTCCTGCTCTCCTAAAGMCYCAAGGTCAGCTAGAGATGAGAGCTTAGATTTTCAGGTCTTCTAGAGCATGTACAAGTTCTACCCATGAACTCRTTCATCCCTTCAGATTTGCAGGAACATACTGGAACTTTTCAAAACCCCAGTCAACATCTTATCCCCATGAGTTTTATGATTAGTTGATCATTTTCCTCAAGTGTTGTACACTGCCTCACAAACGTGAAGTTAAAACACTTGCCACTAGTTGTTTTCAGCAAATCCTTTCAACGAAGAAATATTTTGCAATGAGAGAACTATCATTATGTTAAATTTCAACAGCATTTTAAGTGATGTCTGTCAAAGATCCACCAGACAGGCCAAATTATGGCAACAATATGAAAATGAGGTTTTGGCAGAGCTCTGACTGCATTTTACTTTTCTGGTGTGCTGGCCACATGAGAATGCTGGATGTTATTTTTTCAAAGTTACCATGTAGCTCAAGAGTGTACTACAAGATGAGGGCAAGCTAAAGCAAATACAACAAAACAAATAAAACTCTCTGTTTTTACTGAAGTTCATTTTCTTCTTCACTAGAAGATCTCCAGGTTAACTATTATCTAGAGCCCTATAAAAGTAAATGCTGACCATGTTTACAGTTTTAAAAATTGCCTTTATGGGAGAGAAAATTTTCAGAGGTCTTTACGGTGTTATTTTCACTAATATCACCTTCATKTTTTACTGCATGTTTTATGATCTTATAAAGTGGCTCACCTTGCCCTTTGTCACTGATGGCAGACAGAAGTTGATATGGCCACACTCAGATAGCATTTGCAAGCAATGATAAGGGATGACTATTTGAACTTATCCTCTAAGAGATAAAATTTTCTCAAGTATTATCTGGTAGTGTAGCACTTTGTGAGTTCAATGAACAGGTATGAGACAAAATTTATGATTTGACAGAAACAGAGATTAGTAATTAGAAATCACAACTTGAAGGGATTTATATCTAAAACTATTATTTCCTTTTTGTTTTCTGAACTCAGCCATATTTCTGTCAATGATGAACATACTTTTCTCATCTTTATAAAGTTGGRTACTTTAACCTTTGCCTTAGGCCCTGCATCTTGTTATGATGATCTGTTCCTGCAGCTATTTGGGGGGGAAATATTCTTAAGAACTGATATTATCTCACTGTTAAAATGCTGACTTTTTTTTAGCTCCTTTGAGCCAACTGCTTACAATATCACATGTGATAGGATTTATGTTTCTTCTGCTTACATTCAGCCCCATTAATCACTCAGAACTTAGGAAAAGGAGGAAATACAAGTCTTCCTATGAATAGTTGGGAAAGTGAAACTGAAATCTCTCCCTTATCTTTCCCAAAGGTCAAGATTGCTGGGTTCCATTGCCAAAGTTATTTGATTTAGCTTTCAAAACTTGATTCATGATATTTGTTGCCTCTGTATTTTATTCACATCCAACTTGGTTTATGTTAGAATTTCATTCCTACACCCAGTTACTGAGAAAAATATTTTTTTAAAAAGCCATCTAGCATAAGCATTTAAGATGCATGAAATCCTGATGTTTGTGTTTCTGTTTTTTTTCATTTAATAATTAAAAACATTATCACAAGATTTTTTGATACGTGAGTTTTAAAGATAGGTTATGCATTTGCTTTTATGGGTTCAGGCACAAAGTGGAAATAGATGAATCACATAACTTACTGAGAAGTGTGTGGTATAGAGATGAACAGTATATATGATGATGAAGAAGGAAGTGTGGGGGTGGTATGTATGTGTAACAGGTATATTGTTATGTGGCTTCAAAGGGTAGGAAAGAATACTGGATACATGAGGCAGTTTTTCTTATCCAAGAGCTTTATACAGTCTCTTTCTGATGGTCAAAGTTACCAGGAGGATGGAGTGCTAAAGGTGGCATAGGTGAAAAACGTTCTGTTGCCTAAGGTTTACCTCTTTCTCTCATAAGTAAACATGATGACTAATGTCTTCTTAAAAAAAACAGAGAATGTTTTGCCAGGTAGTAGTCCTCTCCAAGAAACATCTCCATCCATGAATTGAATTCCTTACTCTGTTAGAAGAGTAAAATGGAGTGTACCCTACAAACACTTGCTCTTGTCACTAACTTGGAATTAAAGGTAGAAAGAAGATCTTGCTGTTGGGTACATTTCCAATGCCACTGCTGCTGCTTCTGTTCTTCCTCTTCCTCCCTCTCATGAAAGAAAAAAGTTTATTATTAGGGCCAATGTCAAAGGAACTCAAGCTGTTTCCAGATTTAAAACTCTGCTTTCTCTTATAACCTAAAGATTAACCTTCACTTAGTATTTGACAAAACACAGAATAATTTGTAGCACTGTAGCATGTAACAAATGACAGTTTATATTTATAAAATGCTGTGCTTAAAATTTTAAATAATTTTTTCTAGTGCAATTTGAAAAATATTATTGCAAATGCTAACTTATTATTAAACTTTGCAATAATATTTTTATTATTAAGTTCCCAACAGGACCACTACATTYAGTTTGAAGACCTACTATCAATTTGCCATTTACATGGCTGAAGAAATCCTAAAATGTAAWCATTTGGATAAAATGACTGATAAAATAAGTGTCACAGCTGATTTGTAACAYCAAAATTWAAAAAAAATACGATTAATATCCTTTATAAATGAAAAATTTTTTCTTGTACATCTCATGGATTTTTTTAAGTAGCTGAATTAAAACTTACTAAATCCTATTACCATTTGTATTGCTAATAATATTCTTTAAACCTAAAACAATATATCCATATGTTTCATTATGTTCATTATTTGATTATACTTATTTAATATGTTTGCCTGCTGCAAGAGCAAATTAATGATTGTCCACTTACACCATGTTACTAGTTCTTCATCTGAATTTCACATAAAATAATTCCAGAGTATATTCTTTGCAGTGATTTTAATTATGCCTCTGTCTCTATGTACAAGCAAGGACATCACTATTTTGGGTTCGTTAGAGTACAATTTTGGAATAAGAATATGGAAGAAGTTCCTTAGATTTCATAATTTTACAATGAATTCTTTTAATGATGTGACAATTAGATTTGATTTCCAATCCAGCTCTAATATACTATTGAATAACTTCAGAAAATATGTCATCAAAATCATCGGCATCATTTCTCTCTCTCTCTCTCTCTCTCTCTCTTTTTTTTTTCTTTTTGCTAATAAGAACACACCAAATAGTGGATAGTAGAAAAGAATGGTTCCCAGATTATATACTATAACCCTTGTAAAGCATTACAGGAAATCTATGGAAGCCCAGAGAATGTTCAATATTTATTTTATGGCTTTTATTTATTTATTTTTTTATATGGTGCTGAGGATGGAACCTGGGTCCCGCCCATGCTAGGGGAGAACTCCACTGCTGAGCCACAATCCCAGCCCATATTTTGCGGCCTTTAAACAGCCACAGTCATTGGCTTTATCTGCATGATAGCAAACACAAGACTGTCAGGGCTTAGTTGTTTCTCATACTCCTGGAAAAAGCTGGGACTATTTGATCCAAGCCTTTTGAAACAAAAGCCAGAGTAAATGATCTCTTTTGAATTCTTCATTGAAGTGCTTATTTTGGTAAGCAAGCTCAGTATAATGTTTGCACTGGATACCATTTTTTTACAGGGTTGTCATTTTCTATGTCAATGTGTTAAATTGGGTTGTGGACTGTAGCCTGTAGTAACATTATAGGGAGTACAATCACAATTAGTTATATCACTGGACAATATTTAGAAGTAAAAGTACTAATTAGGCCATTTACAAAAATAGTGTAGTTTAGTTTTTCATTCTTTAAACAAAATCATATTGGCCTAATGTGAATGTGGCCATGAATCACCAGTGGTGGCTCGAATATATTTGCCAGCAATCACTCTGACTCTGATGTCCTGACTCTTGCTTCTCTCAGCCTACTTCCTCTCACTGGTCTCCAGAGTGGATGGTAATTCCTCAAACTTGAGAAGCAGACTTTTCCTTCCAACTAAGGACCAACATGCTTGTCAGGTATTTGAAAGTAAACAGCATTTAAGATACTTTGTCATATTTAGCGATTTCTTTATTGTAATTGTTTGGGTAATAATTCTTTTTCTTTTTTCTTTTTTTTTGCAGATTATATTTTATCACTTCTTGAGCCATGTGAATGGCAAATTGATGGTAGGTCTTCAAACCGAATGTGGTGGTCCTGTTGGGAACTTATGGCAAAGCACAGCCAAGCTCCAAAATCGATGGGAAAGAAATGTCATCAAAATCCAGAGTTCAAAGAACTTTCAGGTATGTCTATTCCAGGCTCCAGCTATGGCTTTTGAAGGGAAAGTGACAAGAACCAGATCTTTAACACAGGTGAATTAAAAATAAAGGGTTCACTCAATTTGCCAGGGACTGAGGTATTTCCAAGGACTTTCAAGTACTGAAAGTGAACATATGTGCTGGTCACCCTAAAAAACAGTCAGTTTAACAGTGAAGTCTTGAATCTGTGTAATAAATTAAAGTGGATACATTTTAAGATAYATAGATGTATCTGTAAAATATAATGTCATTTTCCATTTTTTWAAAATTTTTTCTGTTTTCCTTGCTTTTTTAACCTCCTCTTTCTTTTCATTTCTTTTCCCTTAGAATCATTTTCCTTTCAGAGTTTTCTCATGCTTTTGAGAGAAGAGAATAATGTTTGGTAATGAGGAAAGAAACCGGTTGACTTAAATACTAATTCCGAATGTTGTTGAAAGAGAGTAATTGTCACATTTATCTCATGGTTAAGCTCGATTCATCACAGTCTTTATTTTCCTAAATAATTTTGAGAATTAAATCCAATGAAAGCCTATATAAGACAAACATTTTATGCAGCTTAATATACTTAGGCATGGTGGAAATTTTAATCTATGATTATCTCAAGAGTTCTTGGRAAAGTGGTTTATATTTTAACATTGGGACAGCTAAGCAAAATTTGTCACTTAAAGCATTTTATTCCTAATCAATTAGCTTCCTAACCTGGTTTGTAGATCAATTTACTCCCCATAGGTTTCCTTTATCAATTTAGGATGATATAATCATTGATTTTATGATTTAATAATAATTTCATTCTATAGCAAATAATCTGATATGTAATGAATTTAGTACTTGTTTAAAATAGGGAATKAATTTAATTCAATGTTGCCTTTAGCTATTTTGGGTGATTAATAGGAAAAGGATAAAMAAATAAGCAAGATACTTTATAATAAATGTCGAATTACAAGATATAAGAAGGGAATATTTGCTTAATTGACATCATAAAATTACCCAAATTGGAATTTTCTGGYGTTGGTAAATTTGGCATCAAATTTGGCACCAAATGGAGATTTAAAAAAATCATTTAGTAAATGGTCCAATGGCACATAGACAAGAGGAATCACAATTCTGTAGTTTGAGACTTTGTACTTTTTTGGGGGGGAGTGGATACTCGGGATTGCCACTAAGCCACATCCCCCTATCTTTTTAAAATATTTTTTTAGAGACAGGGTCTCGCTGAGTTGCTAAGTGCCCCACTAAGTTGCTGAGACTGGCTTTGAACTTGCCATCTTTCTAYTGCAGCCTCCCAAGTTGCTGGGATTACAGGCATGTGCCACCATGCCCAGCCAGACTTTGTATTCTCTTGAAGTCAAGTATCTATGAGTGTTTATTGGGGGTAAAAGGCACTTAAGACATCAGGCATTTAAGTCTTCCTACAAATGAGTTATTCTTTTGAGGTACTTGGGATGCACTGGGCAAGGAAGTTCTCTAGTACCACGTTAAAAAAAAGATGTTTGACATCTGGGGGGACCCAGAACAAATTTGTGGCTTTGGTGAGGTATGGTATCCAGAATGAATTCCTCTGAACAACGGTAATATATTCTAGTCCACTGTGACACTTCGGGCATTGGTTATTAATTGCTCSAGAAGTTTCTAGTTTATTTTTTAACCCTTCTCTTCTTGGTCCCTGGTGTCTGTCTTTTCTAGACAGCAACAACAGAAGCAACAAAATTAAACCAAGAGTGCTTTTGTGGGGACTTGGTCACATTGACTAGATTTGGGAGGGAGCATTTGCTGATTTGCCTTTTCTCTCCAAAAYGGTATCAACTTTAAGGACTGAGATGAGAGGCTTGTCCACACCCACATGCTTTGTCGTTATTTATACATCATTTCAAACTTCTAAACAAAGTTGATGGTAAAAGAATTCCCCAAATAACTTTATTGCTGAGAGGAACAGTGCTTCTTCCTTAAAGACTGGGCAAAACGGTCAACTGTGCGATTCTGTTGGGATCCTTCGACTACACCAGTCTTTTAAGACTGCAGGTATGTTTTGGTTTTATCCTGTCAGCAAGAGAGCAGATGCTCATTTGCTATTGTTCCGTGGGCCACAGAGATGTGCTGCGCTGGTAATACAGCCTGCCACCCTCTAGTATCTTATTCCTGAAAAGCTTATTTGAGGGAATTTTGTAATCAGCATCTCCACACAGCATTTGCTGCCTCATCAACTCACGAGCCCCTGAGAATTATTCTGTTTTCTGTAATTTCCCCTCCATGCTGACTTCTGGTAGTTAAAAGCCCAGCTAGATTCCAGCTTAGCATGGACTTTTGAAAAAGCGTCTGGAGTTGGCTCTCRCTTGGGGACTTTATTGTGTTCATCTTTAAAATTCTAGGTTTATTCCTTAATAAAATTGAGGGAGGATGATTTCTGAAAAAAAATACAACCATATAAACAAGCAATGGCATAGGTGGCAGCATTTCAGAAAGTTTAAAGGAATAACAACTAGCACTTGTTGAGCATTTGTGTGTGAGAAATTATGTTGAGTCTTTTGTTACACATAATCGAACTGGCCTTTCAAGAAAATCCTCTCAGGTAGAATGATGATTTACACCATCGTTAACAGGAGGATTGTAAACTTCAAGAGGTGAATAGCCTCCTAAATCCCATATCAGATTAGAATCTGGTGTAGTTTCATTTCAGATAATCACTTAGTCACTAAGCCATAATAATTTTCTGTATCATGTTAAAGCATTATGGGAATTTAGAAAACATGGGAGAAAAGAGAAAGAACAAAGCCTCTGGATTGGGTCAAATCTGTTGCATTTAACTTATTAAATATTCTTCTGTCTTGTTGACCATGTTGGGAGAAATAATGTTAGGCATTACATGGTGGTGAGGAAATCCCAATCATGTTTATAAAACTTGCATATGTAAGCAGTGAAGTTTATATTATTCTAAWTTTTTCAAGAAGGCAAAGAATACAACAAATCAAGTATGCAGTAAAATTCAGTTATAAAATCAAATGAAATCTGCCCCACCCCTTTGTCTGAATATTTTTTAAAAGTTTGGTGGTGGTTGTTGAAGAGATCTTATAGGAAGGAATAAATATTATATTACTAACATATCACTGTAGTTTTCAAGTTGGTAGTTTGGATTGTTAAACTAAATGATAGTGAATTGTAGACTTTTTTTTGTTTTTTACTGGAGATCGAACCCAGGTCCTTGTCATGCTTGGCAAGTGCTCTACCACTGAGCTACAACCCCAGCTCTGAAACAGTTTTTAAATATGCTATTATCTCCTTGTGATTTTTTTGATATTTTATTTAAAAACACTGAAGAGCTCTCAGCAGCCTTTTACTTAGAAAGAATAGACTTAATTAATAAAAACCAAAAAATGAGTCATTTATTAAAAATATCAATTGTTCCTTAATTTTAAAGTTCTACCCTCACTTTTTTCATAGTTATAATACAAAAGTATTTATTATATGAACTCATGATGGGGAAAATTACTGGACTCTTCTGATGWTTGGAAGGTTGGCTTCAGAAATAAATTGAATGCATACTACCATTACAGACAACTCTAATGCAATACATATGATTATGAGTTTSTAGTCATGTTGTTACTAATGTAACTTAAGTGGCCCTATGTCCGGGACTCATTTTCCATTGCAGATTCCTCTAACATTTAAATCAAATGGTTTGGCATTGACCCCCCTTTCTACATTCAGGGGTCATCTTTTTTCAAAATACTTGGGGAAAAAGAAAGTTGCCTCATGTTTACTAGGGGTCAGTGCAGGCTGTGTGTGATCCCTGAGATGTTGCCAAGATCCTAATTCCATTACCCCTTTATGATTTGCTTGTGTGTGTGTATGTGTGTGTGTACGTGTGTGTGTGTGTGTGTGTGTGTGTGTGTGTGTGTGGTTTCCCTTTCTTTTTTTTTTTTTTTTCTCTTTCTTTCTTTTTTTTTTTGTGATACTTTGCTTCTTTTAAAACTTATCCCCAACATCACCAAAATGAGGTGAGTGTTTGGGGAGAAAATATTTGACAAAATTTTAGAAAACACAAGTAAGACACAACTTTTCCTAGGAAGACTACTCCCTTCAGCCAGCTCAGCCTCTGACTGTTGGTGATTCTTCCTGAGACCTGTATCTTCCGCCATTTTGTCATATCCTAGCCCAAATCCCTGGAAAATCTTTTTAGAAAATTTATTTACCTAGGCTGTTTATGTTTTTCCTGATGAATTTTGTGTTTTGTAGCCATTAGTAAATCTCCCTACACATAGAGAAATAGTTCTTTTTCTGAGGGGAAAAAAAAGTGTTTTCCTCTTGCAGAGTTCCTGGGCTCAAATGGCAGCCAGTTTTCACAGTAAGTTTTCTTCAGTTATACCAAATTAACATGTAATTTAACAGAATCAAATAAGTGCAGAACATCTGTTTCAAACCCTAACAAGAGGATTAAGGCAAAAAGTAATTTAAAATTCAATAGGTTGGGCAAGAGGGTACAGGAGTGGTGATAGGAATGTAAGAAAAATAGGCTTAAGGGATCTGACTGGACATGGCACTAGAAGAGAATGGAATTCTAAAGGCCATTTTGGAGTTGTGAGCATTGCGAAGAAGCAGACTTCAGGTAACACGGTTGGAACACGAGKGAGGTAAGGCATCCAATTTGAGGAAAAAACAAAGCATATTATGAATTAGAAGTGACTCCTGTTTGGAAAGAAATATGTTAGAATGACATGTTGGACAAGAACAAAAGTGAATAAGGCCCAGCACTATGATCTGCTATGGCTTACTGTATCCACACCAACTGTGGACCTAAGAAGTAGCACTGAGTTTCTGAAATAAAGGTGTTTATATTATAAGCAAGTTTGAACAATACATATGCTTTGAATACATCTATGGAGGAGGTTTCAAAGAGCATTGGTATTCATTAGTGAGGCAGAATAAAACTCAGTATACTAACACACCAACCTTCTATTCGGCAATTAGAAATTGGACAGTGACTTCTTTCCAGATTTCTTGGATTAATCATACGAGGATATTTCTTCCTGGTGTAGACTTGGGCTGGCTCCATATCACAGCATAGAAGTCAGTCATTTTAACAAGTTGCTGAACAGTGCATTTTCCATCGATATCTCAAAGCTATGTGTTGATAATGGCACAAGAGGTACAAGAATACAACAGAGGATATCAAAGGCAATACTGAGAATCAAATGCCAAGAATCAGAAGTGAAAATGGGGAATGGTTGCAAGATGCTAAGAACCAGAGCCAGGTGTGGTGGCACATGCCTATAATCCCAGTGGCTCAGGAGGCTGAGGCAGGAGGATGKCGAATTCAAAGCCAGCCTCAGCAAAAGTGAGATGCTAAGCAGCTCAGGAGACCCTTTCTCTAAATAAAACACAAAAGAGGGTTGGGGATGTGGCTCAGCAGTCGAGTGCCCCTGAGTTCAATCTCTAGTACCAAAAAAAAAAAAAAAAAAAAAAAAAGATGCTAAAATGAAACCTGTATACAAAAACTGGTAATTGCTAAACATATGGGAAGGCCACGTGGGGAATAAACATGGAAGATGGTTGCGGGATAGAAATCAGATAAGCTTTGTTTCACTTCACAAACATGTTACCTAACCTGTGCCAGACATCTGTGTGGTACAGTGATGACTGCACATTTTCTTGTCCTAGAGACTATTTTTCCTTTTTCTTGGAATTGGCATGATGGTAACTCAAGTGCTTCTAGGAAGTAGCATGTTTCTTACTTGTTGACGTTCTTCTGTAACACTGATGTTCTTTTGCTTTGTGTTTTGTTCTGTTTTGCTCTTCTTGTGCAGGTTGTCTTTCAAGGTCAAATGATTGCAACTCATGAACAGGATGTAGTCATAGCTATTGATGACATATCTTTCAGTTCAGGCTGCTTGCCTGTGCATGGTAAGAACTTTYTCTTTCATTTTGATCCTTATTGTGTAAAATAAATACAGTGCAATTTAAACATTGTCAGACTTTCAACTACTCAGTATTTTTGCCTGATGTTTTAATATGGGATATTTTTCATTGTTCTAATACATTGTTTAACAGTGACTGGATCTATTTTGAAAGTGAAGATGGGCTATTTTTCACAGACTCTGATGCTGTAAAGGACTGAATGGGGTAATTTAGTTGCAGAATTGAATCTTGTAGCAATGTTTATACTGGCTAGTTAATTCTTAACTCCGTGCCTTTTAGGAGATTGGTAGAAACTGGCTTCCATATAGTTGAAATGGTCTTCTTGAAGTAGTACCTTGATTCTTTCAGTGCAAGACACAAAATGGAGGGAAAATTAGTTGTAATTTATTTGCAATTAAGACTGAAACAAATATATTGATAAATCACATATGTCTAAAATATATTCTTATTGGCCTTTAACTGAATAATTTCAATTCCTCATTTACCCAGTTAACAAAGGAAAAAAATTATTATTAAAATTAGAATTTGGTTAATCTACCAAGCAAGAATAAGAATTTAATCTAAAAAGCCTATGTATGTATAAGWCTATACACACCACAATATTCCTCCTTAAAATTTTATTATATTGTGGTACAATGCAGCAGAATAAAGATAGCTTTTATTTTAGTCCATTTTCTRTTACTATAATSAAATACCCATGATTGGGTGTTTTAAAATGAAAAGAGGTTAATTTTTCTCACAGTTCTAGAAGTTCCAAGGCATAGGCCACCATCTGATTGACTCTGGTAAGGGTCCCATGGAAGAATCACTTCATGGTTAATGTATAATTGCACGAAAGTGTGTAAGAGGGAGAAAGTCATATGTTGAAACAGGAAGCAAGAAAGATGGGCTTTCTCCCTTATAAGAACCCTTTCATGAGAACTAACCAGGATCCCACAATATCTGCATCTACTCCAACGAAAGGTAGTGCCCCTAGGGATCCAGTGACCTCCAACTGAGTTGTACCTTATAAAGGTTTCATCACCTCTTAATATTGACACRCTAGGGACCAAACTTCCAACTCCTGAACCCTTGGGTTCACCTTCAACCATTTCAAAACCTTTGTAGCTATTTTGTCAAGAGGGATGCTAAGTTCTAATCTGATACAAAAATACGGCAGTTGTGGTAACTGATRTTTCAAAACCAGAAAAAAAAAAGATGTACTGGCTTTCCTGAGACCAAGCAAAGATCTCTGTTTCTGTGTCTTGCTTGGATTTTTAAACAGCACTCTTGCTGGTAGGATAGAGCACTGAGATATGTGTATCTTGTCATCTAGACCAAGACAGGGGCTGATGACAGCCCTTTCTAACACTGGAGCACTTCAAGGTGTTTTTCATCTTTGTATTATCAGTGTGGATCAGGTAAGAAATCACAATACCACAAACTGAAAGATAGATCATTCAAATAGAGAACTTTAGGGGAACAGGTGGCAGATTCCTCCAAATTTTAGAAGGAAATAACTGAAGCATCAACCTCAATGCCTTTTCACTAAAAGAAGATTTGGTTTATCAGAAGAGATACAAATAATCAGTGTAGAACACAGGGTTAGGTGCAGGCAAAGCCAACTCAACTGCTGACTGCTCTTAAGTTCCCATCTCCCCTAAAACTCCCCCTCTCTTACCCTGTGTGGTTTCCTGGATCCAGAGCACAGCCAGCCTGCKCTTGATACTTAATGAGACATTTAATTTCTGGCCCTGATCACTTTAGCAATATTTTTATACTTCTCAGTTTTATAGTTTTCTGCAGAAAATTTGGGCMTGCCAAACTAGCTCTGTTCATTGGCTAGTCTAGCTAATTACCCTCAAAAGCAAAACAGGCAATGAAATCAGCCATCAGCTGGGGTTTCTTCACTGCTGGGTAGCTGCCATTGAAACTGTATTGACATTATGAATTTGCACAGGAACATTCTTGGGTGGAGCTTGGGAGTTGACATTGCCTGTAATAAGACCCCACTATCATTTCTGACATGAACTTTCTCTCCATCATTGGCTCTGGGAACTATAGTCATTTCCCTAATTGCCCATGATCCACATACTGGGATAAAGGCCAAGGTGGATGGGCCATAATAAATATTCAGAAGACAAATGCCAGATTTTGTAGTAAGCACTTAAAAGACCTCTAAAAATTCACTACTGAAGGTTAAAAAAAAGGTAATTGTACTTGGAGTGTAAACATTAGGAAATTTGAACATTTAAGGGAAAGTTGTGGTCAAATTGTAAAATGTTGAGCTTTACAATTTCCAAGACAAGAGTTCTAGACATCATTGTAATCATAAGGCATTCGAGATGGTGTAGAAATACAATTTACTAAAGATATGAGGCATCAGTGAATTTTAAGACTAATTTGGTTGACTATGCCTTTCACATGGATGTTAAATTCATTCCATATGACAAGATTCATGACTAAAGAAGAAGACTTTGAAATTCAAGGCTGAAATTATCCATGGAAAGTAGACCTGCATGGATACCAGTGACGTTAAAATGGATGTCATGAACCAAGATGTTTTTCACATACWAGAATAAGCAATTGGGTAAAAGCAAAATTAGGTATCTAGAAAAATGATAGCCTTGATTTTAGGTCCTGTGCTTTAAACCATCTCTTGGAAAATCTGCAAAAGAAGTGGTCTTCTTTTGGAGAAAGGCAAGATTTAAGTAAAGTCACATAGTGTGTTCTCTGGAGGTGAGGGTGCGGGGAGAGTTTTATCCTCCTCCCCCCAAAAAATAAGAATTGAGAGCATATTTAAACTTTTAGAAGGAAAGCACAGCATTATGAAATATTAATAATGGAGAAAAAGCATAAAGCATTATCAGATAGCATTGGCATTTGGATGCTGTTACATTTTATAAATGACAGGAATGTGAGAGATAGTAAAATTAAGTAGCATTAAATTTCTAAATGGGACTCTCTAGTCCAGTTCAAGCACTATCATAGCAGAATAAACCTAGTTAATCATCAGAATCACATGGGGGGGATGATTGATTCTGGGCTTCCCTCCAGAACTGCTACGTGGGAATCACAAACCATGTGGCTTGCATTTTCAACAAGGTTCTGGAGATAGTTTTTATGAAGAGAGTAAGACYGAGTTCAAAGAATAGGACTGGCATTTAGGAACCATGGGTCCTGGTTCCTTGTTGATAATCTTCCTTGGCAACAACTGCTTTGGAGCGGAGTCCCAGATGAGTAGAGTCAGTGATTTCAGTCTCATGCAGGCCTGAGGTCGTAGTGGAGCATCAGAGGCCTGTAGACAAAGCCAAATCAACCTGCTCATTTCCATCAGAAAACCCTATTCCAACAGAGGATAAGGTCAGAATGCATTTAGATGTGAGAAAATAGACAAGTTTGCTTAAATGACCTCAAAAATGAAAAAGAAGCAGTTGTTGGCATTGGTTCTTCACTCCAAACCTGTTAAAGTCAAGGACTGAGTGATTTTTCTGCCATTGGCCTTATGCTTATAGCCTGATGATCATAAGGATCACCAGAGCTCTTACATGTCAAATTTAGGGCAGAAAGAAGGCCACGGCAGACGAGGGCTATATCTTTGACYATGTCATTGGCTTGACAATTGTTACAATAGTAACTTGAGTTACTAGAGAAAGTAATAAAAGTGAATATTTAGCTTTTAGCCTCTGGAATAAAGAAAGGCAAGAAGAGGTTTATGGACGGAATGGGCAAATGTATTTGCTACAGAATCTCAAAATCAACCTGCTTAGAACTAAATTATATTTTTCCCYCAAAATCTGTTCCCTCTCATACATTCTGTCTTTTAGCCATTGGCATATTCATCACCAGAAAACCTACTCTGAAATAAATGCTAGGGAAATGTTTTAGGTGGAAAAAAAAATCAAAAAGTATTACCAGAGGAAAACTTGTAGCATCAAGAATAAAGGAAAAACAACTGAAATCACAAATAACTGAATAAATAGAATACTTTTCTCTCCTAAAGATTGTGTATGTGTATGTATATACATACACATACACATATATACATATATACACACACACACACATATATATATATATATATATATATATATAACTATACATATATTATAGAATAATTATAGAATAAATAATTATAGAATAAAATAAATAATTATAGAATAAAGTGAGGAACATAAAATTCTGTGGCTGTAGCACTTCTATATTTCATTTGAAATGCTAACCAGCTCTGATGTTAAACTAAGAAATGCATATCCTTAGAATGAACAATAAACACAAGTTAGTGATAAAATTGAACATATCAGAATATTCAGAAATTGAAATAATACACTAAAGGCAAAGAGAATAGAAGGAGATAACAGAAATGTGGAACGGGGTAGTAAGGGAACAAAGGGTAATCAAAGCCTAGAAAATAAAATTAACAAACAAGTTGTAATCATAAAATTATTATATTGAATATAAGTGGTCTCAGCATTCCTATCGAACTCAGGTGATATAAGATTGGAACAACAATCAGAACCATATTTATTCTGACTTTAAAAACCCATTTTAAATATTGTACAGATTAACCAAAAATAAAGGGGTGCAGAAAAATGTACCATGTAATCAAATCAAAGAAAGGTAGAGTGACCATATTCATGTCAAARTTGTTGTTCATAACAAGGAAAATTAATAGGGATAAATAGGACCATTATATAGTAATAAAGGGTAAATTCAGTAAGAAAATATAATCCTAATCATGTACACACCTAACAACAGTACACCAAAATATATGTGGCAAAACTATTAGAATTCAAAGAATTAAATAAATCCACAATTATATCAGGAGATAGATACATAGATATAGATAGATCAATAATCCTGACAAATACATAAAATCAGTAAGAATATAGAAAACTTGAAMAAAATCATTCACTAATTTGATATAATTGACATTTATTAAAATAATACATAACAGGGCAAATAGAACAGAATACAATGTGCATATGCAACATTAACCATTGATAGTCAGCAGCAAGGGTCCAAGGGTGCAGCAATACAGAGGAAGGACAAAATTTAAGGAGACGCTAGAATTTTACTAGACTCTACATGTGTTCTTCATCTCCACCAAATTCCTGTGTCAAAATCCTAATGTCCCTGTGACTGTATTGAGAAAGTTGGATCTTTGGGAAGTAATTTAGTAAAATCCTAAGGATGGGGTCTCATTTGCTACTATTGTGTCTTCAAAAGAAAAGGAAGATGCTGCCTTTGTCTCTCTCACTGTGTGTGTTTTATGGGTGCTTCTTGAGTACAGCGGTCATGCACAAGCCTGGAAGAGAGCTCTCACTAGGGCCCTTATCTTATGCTTCCAGCCTCCAGATCTGTAGGGAAAAAAATTCTGTTATTGAAGCCCCAAGTCTATGGTATTTTTTTTTATTGCAGTCTGGACAGACTAAGATGCTTACTAACTGAGATAAAGAGTATTTAGATGTAACATTTAAAAAAATCAAAACTAATAAAAAATCAATGGTAAACAAAACATTAGAATGTTCAAGATGGGATCAGTATTATTAAATTTTATCAGGCGCCTATATGGCTTAGAATCTTAACATTTGGGCCATGAAACAAATTTTAAGAATCTTAAAGGAACTGAAATAATACAAAAATAGGTATTTTGATTATAATGAAATCAAACTACAAAGCTGGAAAATCCACAATTATTCAGAAATTAAACATCAGAAGAGTTTCATGTTTGTTGAATAAGACTCATATAATGAAAATCTTCATCAAAGAAAATTCCAGAACTGCATGATTTCACTGGCAAGTTGTATCAAATATGTAGGGATAAATTGCTACCAGTTCCGTACATTCCATTTCAGAAAACGAGTATGATGAAAACACTCATCACCTTATTTTGAAATAATGACTTTGCCCTAACACAAAATCCAGAAAACCTCAGGTCTCAAGTCTCCTGCAAAATATTATCAGAGTTCTAGCAATATATAAATAGGTAATCGGGTGCAACCATTCAGGGAATTCAAAGCTGGTACAATGTTTGGAAATCAATGAATGTCATTTACCACATTRACAGACTGAAGAAGAAAAAGATCCCGTGATGATCTTAGTAGATGCAAAAACAACATTTGACAAAATTAAAAATAACTTCATGATCCAAAACCTCAGCAAACTTACAAACTTTTTTAACCTGATAAAGGTTTTATACAAAAAGCCTACAGCTAACATCACACCCAATGATGAGAGAATCATGCTTTGCTCCTAAATTTGGGAGTCACTCATCATTTCCATGTGACAACACACTGGAAGTCTGGTGATATTCTTAAGTAAAGGTAATTAATTAGAAAAAAAGGAGGAAATGTCTCTGAAAGTAATATGATTATCTATACATAACATTTCATGGAATTTGCTTGATTTTAAATTACAGAACACTACATTTTGCATGTCACCTTATTTAGGGGCCATGCTCATCTCCTTTGTATTATTACAGTTTTAGTATATGTGCTGCCAAAGTGAGCTCAGATTTATTTTTATAAAGTTTCTGAATTTATCATGGTAGCAGGATGCAAAATAAATATAAAATCATATTTATTTTCACATAATATCAATGACTGATTAAAAATGAAAATGAGGAAAAGGGACCACATATAATAGAATCAAAGTTAATTCTTATGCATCTAACAAAATATTGTATCTGCATTTGGGAGACTGCAAAATACTGATGAAAGACATTGAGAAGAGCTAAATATTAATTTTACTTTAGGTAAATTTAGAAATAAATTTAAAAGTGTAATGGTCACTTTTTAAGTTGAAGTGATAATGATGGTGAGAAGTTTATGTGCTTAATTCATTGGGCAATTTGCAGAAAAAATTGCTATTATCTTAGTATACTAAGTATGTATGTATATGTATATTTCTGTTTACTATGAAAATGTAAACAWCTTTACAAAAAATGCTTAGATATAGGTATTTTCATGGTGTCTAAATGCTTTTGCATGCTGSGAAATAAAATTAAGTTCTCTTTATAATATTAGAGAAGTCTTAAGACTATTTTCACACTTTCGAATACTACCATTCTAGCCTCTGCCCCTCCCAAGAAGTAAAAATTCATTTTACATTTATTGGAAAGTGAATTGCTCTACACTCTATCAAGGTAGCAAGTGTAAAAAAAATCAAGGTTTGTGACTGTGATCAAATAAGAATGTGTTTAATCAGTGATTCTTGAATAAATTGCTGATTATAATTTATATAAAGATTGCTTGCTGAGGCTCATAATCAGAATATTGTGAAATTCTGTGAATATTTTTGGCTTTCCAGGACCATGCCTCAGACATTTGTAAATGGCACAAATATATAAGTCATCCCTTAATTAGAAGCTTCATCATGTGTGTGTGTGTGTGTRTGTGTGTGTATAATCTAGTTAAATAACTAAAGACCTGTTACCGTTTTTCTTTCAGTTAAATTCGAAAACCCAATAAGTGTTTATTGAAATCCATTATCAATTTTTAAAAATTGACAAAGAAATTGCCTAAAAAATGAGGTCAAAACTGGTGTAAATTATAACTTTTACTGCAATAGCCTTGAGACTTGGACTTCATTCTGTAACATTTCAGAGTTTCTAGCCAGTTTCACACAATCTGTTTGTGGGAGATAAGATTTCAAGGAGGACAGCCCTCAGGCTTGTGACTTCATTGGTATGGTGACCTTGAAATGGTTGGTCAAGCTTCCTCCTATTGATTATGTATCATTGATGAAGGATTTTAACCAACCCCTCTAAATATTCTCTTGCAGTCAAATCATGGTGCAATGTAAGAATGAGTGAGAGAGGGAGATGGAGAGAAAGAGATAAAATATAAATRAATATGAATGTAAATATAAATAAGTGTTATGTTTAAAAAGTTTCAGACTCTGGGATTGAATACATTCAAATAAAAATGCATTTCTGGGAGATTTATTATTTATGCATACCATACCACCACACATACCATAATTTTTGGAGTATAATTTCTAGTTTGGGGGCCAATGATACTAAAAGTAGTTGGTATTGGAAAAAAATATTTAACGCCAATTGGCACAAGATATATTTTAATTCCATGCAATTTGGCCTTTACTATTTTGCTATTTTTTATGTGACAAATTAGAGGTACTATACAAGATTTAATTGAACTATGACCAGTATTTAATTATGTAGCTCTAGAGGGCAAAAGATTTGTAGCTCTTATATGAACCTACAAAAATTTTAATTGTTTAATGATAATTGTTATTGTGCAATCTTAGCTTCATTTATTGCAAACATTGTTTTAATCGCCAATGCAGTTTTATTTTTAGCATATTTTACACTCAAGAGGATTTGYATATTCATTATTTGTAAACTCCTGTTATGAGAAACCAGATTATGGGTGTATTAGTAAATCATTTTCATAACCAATTGCTTCAGTCTTATCACAAATAAAATATAAGTGATTTTTATATGGCCTACAATATGTTTTAAAATGTTCTGTGGATTTTTCTTAGGGTCATTTATTTATTYATTAGTTAAATAAATATATGTTTAGCACCTATATTATACTATGATTTTTTCTTGGGAATGGGGGGAACAGCCATGAAAAAAACAAAGAGTAATCATCCCATTCATGAATTTTCCATTTTAGTCAGGAAATGAAATATATAAGAAATAAGTAGGAAATATATTTTGTGTTCAGGGGTGATATTTGAAAAGAAGAAAATGTAAAACTGAAATACAGAGTACCAGAGGTAAGGATGAGATGGTGAAGTTTAGAACAGTATCATTAGCCTGTCTCCATTAAAAGCACATTAACTGATCAGAAAAGCCAAGGGGTGGGTGAAGAAGCTTATGTTTATTGGAAGAAATTCTAAATGCAAAGACCTGCAAGAGTAAACCTGGTTTGCATGAGGAAGATTAAGGTAAGGATTTTAATGTTTTCTTCATTGGGAATGGAATCTCATGGAAGGATTTCAAAGGAGAAGAGACATGGTCTGATGGACACTAAAGATAGTAAGGGGGCCAAGGGCAAGGGCAAGGCAGAAAATTCAGAAGTAATTGCTATAATCTAGAAATAGATGTTTCTCTGCGACAGAGCTGGGGGTAGTATGGAAGTGGTGAGATGTGGTAAGATTTTGAATGCATTTTGCACATAAGTAAGAATTTGCTGATGAAAAATACATTTTGTGAGAGAGGTTATGAGTCATGGAGGACTCCAAATTTCTTGCCTGAACTAGAAAGATAGGGTTGTCTTTAGCTGAACATTAGATAGGAAATACTGTTTGAAGAGAAATTTGAGTAGAAAGAAATTAGAAGTTTACATTGAACTTGATTTCTTTTGAGGTGCCTTTAGCCATCTGAGTATTTGTGTCCAGGATAGCTGAGCTAGGATCCAACAAAAGGTCTGAGCCTCAGTTACAATTTTARAGTCATTAGCATCCAGGAAAAACTTTAGAGGCACAAGGCAGYGTGATACTAACAAGATTGTGAGTGGGTAAAGAAGGAAAGAGAATCAAGGACTGATCTCTGGAGCAATCTGATGTTGAGGAACTGAGGGAAAACCAGCAAGGGAGGCTGAGTAAAAATAACTAGTGATATAAAAGGAAAAACTAGGAAAGAAAGTATGTGCTGGTACCCAGAGACAAAAATATTTCAAAAAGGAAGGAGTAATCAAGTATAATCCAGATAGTACTGATAAATAAGTAGATTGAAGAGAAAAAATTAATATTAGATARAGCAATATGGAGGTTGACCTTGATTATGCATAGTTTCAGTGGAGTGGTAAGGGGAAAAATTATAATAATAAAAATGAATGAAATACTAATCCAGGTTGTAGCATGGATGACTTTGAACACATTATGCTGAGAAAAAAAATGGTAGACCTGAAATCCACTTAGTATGTGTCTCCATTTATGTRAAACGTCCAGAATAGGCAAATCCATAGTGACAAAAATAAGATTCGTAATTTTCAGGGTCTGAAAGAGAGGAGAGAATGAAGAATGTTTTAATCAACTTTTTGTCACTTTTAACAAAATACCTTAGAAAACCAACTTAAGGGTGAAAAGAATTATACTGGCTCAGGGTTTTAGAGGTTTTAGTCCATGACGGGTTGGCTCCATTGCTATAGGTCTCAGATAAGGCCAAGCATAATGGAGGGGAACTATGTTGGTGGCCACGAAGCAGAGAAAGAGCAAGAAAGGGGGCAGGGATAAGTGTAGTCCTCAAGGGCAGCCCCCAAAGGGCCCACTCCTTTCAACTGTGTATCACCCCCTAAAGTTTCAACCACCTCCCAGTGGTCCACCTAGCTATGAATCCACTAATGAATTCATCCATTGATGAGGTTAGAGCCCCTATGATCCAAACTCTTCCCCAAAGCCCCATATCTGAATAGTGCTGCATTGGAGACTAAACCTCCAACACATGAGCCAGATCCAGACCATAATGAAGAACGACTACTAATGGGTATGGGAATGTACTTTATGGTCATGAAAATGATTTGGAATTAGATCGTGGTGATGATTGCATAACACTATGAATGTATAAAAGCCACTGAATTGAATGCTTTAAAATTGATTCTTGGAAAGCTGCGGGCATGGAACTCAGTGGTAGAGTACTTGCCTAACACATGTGAGACCTTAAGTTAAATCTCCAGCACCAGACACATGACAAAAAGTAAAATGGTCTAAATGGTGAATTTTATATGCTGTGAATTTTGCCTTGATTAAAATATTCATTAGGATAGGTTCAAGAGAGTATAGCGAGGACCTGGAGTTGGAGTCCTGAGAAAAAAAATATCACTTTGAAAAGTTAGTTAAAGGTTGTTGGGTCAATAATAAAGATTTTCTTAAGATGGATGAAATTTTGACCATTTGGGTATGGAAAGTAATTATCTTACAGAGAAGATGAACATGTGAATATAGATGAGAGAAAAGAAAATTGCTGGAATGAATCTTTCAATAGGCAAGAGGAGATGCAATTCTGTGCAGGTGGAAAGAATGACCCCAAATGGAACATGAACTTCTGTCCAGTTACAGAAAAGGATTATGGGCAGCATTATGGAGAGAGGCATGGAACCTGGGGAGATTTCTTCTGATTTTTCTCATTTTCCCAGTGAAATATACAGAAAAATGAAGAGCTGAGATTAATGATATGGTAGGAATCACTGGAATTTTAAGGAAGGATATTAAAATGAGTGAAGTGAACCCAAACCCCACATCTTCAGGGAATGAGAGGTGGTATGCCAAAGTCTGAGATGACTCCAACAAGCAGGTGCAGTGACGGGAGCCATTTGATGTTAAGAGTCAAAACCTGGTATTTAGGAAGGCRAGAGCAAGAATTGTCTAGAATTATCAATAGGAGCAAGTAGGATTTCAAGTCTACACTCATGTCCTTTTCAAGTTCACAACTCCAAAAGACAGGCACAATTTATTTAAGAGAGCATCAAAGAAGATAGCTGCAGGGCAGATCTACCTTCCAGTTACAGGACACCATCTATTATATTAGACACACAAACAATTGTAATAACAAGCACTTAGTTTCAAATTTAAGGTAGGTCCCTTACTTTTGTGGAAACACAGAAATTGTTGTTTAGGGCTTGCCAGTCACCATGGAGATCTGATTACAATACAGAGACATCCAAATGCTTGTTTTATTCTCCGTGTGTGTGTGTGTGTGTGTGTGTGTGTGTGTGTGTGTGTAAAGTAAGGCTGCCTAAGGGATGATGATGCCATGCCTTAGAGAGGAGTTGAGTAGAGAGTTCATGGTAGAATGAATGTTAACATTTTAAGAAACATGAGCTTTTACAAAGTACCTGCATCTTAAGTCTTGCCATTCTTTAAATTTAACAGATGAAATTTTACCATGTCAAGAAACACTGAATACYGAGCAGGAATCATGTCATCCAGATATGAGTCTCTGCAGATTTGATTCCACAGATGAAGAATTGAGAAGTAAGTGTTAAACTGAAATGCCCGTCTTGTAGGTGTTGACACAATTTATGAGACTCAGCGACTAGTCATAGGAATGTGCATCTGCTGGCCTTTGTTGACTTAATATCCTAGTTATATCTGTACYCTGTTGGAGTTGGTAATCTACTAAAACAGTGAAAAACACTAGTACATCTATTGAAGGTGATGTTTTATAGAATGATTCCATTGAAGACCATCTTGCAATTACATAATGTTTCTCCTTTAAATTCCAATGTAAACTGGGTCCGTTCGTATGCCTGTAATCGCAGTGACTCAGTAGGCTGAGGCAGGAGGATGCAAAGTTCAAAGCCAGCCTCGGCAATTTAGCGAGGCCTTTGGCAACTTAGTAAGACCCTGTCTCAAAATAAAACATTAAAAAAGGGGCTGGGGGTGTGGCTCAGTGGTCAAGTGCCCCTGGGTTCAATTCCTAGTACAAAAAAAAATATTTCCGATGTAATTATGAATAACACGTAATTTAAACTAATTCTATAAAGTTGGTAAGATCAAACATTATGTCATTTAAAAAAATAGAAACCAAAGTGGTGATAGAATAAAAACTAGGAGTGTCTTTTATTTTATGTGTATTGTTCTCATGGGAAAAGATGCTCATCTGGATTAACTGAAGACCTCTGGTAAAATAGAGTTGCTTATCAGGTCAAATTTCCAGATTGTGTGTATGTGGACCTCTGAGTTAATTAACCCATATAACCCTGGTTGAGCCATCACTCTAGTAAGCTATTATAGTCTGCTAAGATCTTCCTCTTCCCTCTGCAGTGTGTCAGCCCTGTGAGTTTGACTTTGACTTGTGTGACTGGACAGCAGAAGCATCTACTGGGCAAATTTCTTGGATGCGCACAAAAGCCAGCAAGTTCACAGCAATAGAATCTGCATCTCAGCAGAACCTTACTAGCAATGATGAAGGTAGCAAATAAAATACAATGTATTTTATGTCTAAGTCTTAGAATTGTGCTTTATTGTAACTAGTGATGAAACATTAAAGTGGGGTTTTGAGGATCATATTATATTGAAAGTGACAAAACAATCATATTTACAATGTTGTTAAATAAAAGTTATAATATATTAACTGTCTTAATTTGCAAATTTGTTATTTTCTTATTTTCAGGAGATACTGAATTTTGTATGAACAAAAAGAAAAAATATTAAGACTTTATTTATGGATTTTATTTATCTTCAGTATTGGGGATTGAATCCAGGGCTGCTTTATCCCTGAACTRTATTCCTAATTCTTATTTTTATTTTGAGGCAGAGTCTTGCTAAGTTGCTAAGGGTCTCACAAAGTTGCTGAGGCTGAGTTTGAATTTGAGATCCTCTTGCCTCAGCCTTCAGAGTTGCTGAGATCAGTTGAYTTTTACCAAGTCTATATACAGGCTCTTTGTTCTATCAATGAGTTTCTTATTAAAATTGGTACTTTTTGTTTACTTTTCTCCCTGTTGTCATTTTTTTGGGGGGTGAGATGGGAATATGGTCATTCTTATGATTTATTTTTTTCATCAATGGTTTGAAAATTTTATATATGTTACCATTATGTCTATTCTTAATTTGAACACCTATCTTTAAGATTAAATTTTATTAGCAAAACATAAAGTATTCAGTATATCTGTGTTTTTTTGAATATGATAAAAAACTTGACATGATTTAACTACTATTTTACCCTTTTCTGGTTTTGAGTTATAGTTTAGCATTTTCAGAAGAGTTTTCAGTCAACAAGTTAATTTTTGATGTTTATAATTATGACAACTGTGTATTTTATTGTTTCATTCCTTTATTACTGCTTTTTATTTTTATGTATTATTTTGGGGGCTGAGGATTAAACCCAGGGCCTCCTGCAGGTGGGCAAGTGCTCAGCCACTGAGCCACATCCCCAGGCTCTTACCATTGCTTTTCAAATTTCCTGTGGTCCCTCTTGGTTCGTGTTCTCTCTCTCTCTCTCTCTCTCTCTCTCTCTCTCTCTCTCTCTCTCTCTCTCTCTCTCTTTAAAATTAATTGTTCTTTTACCAATAAAAGATCTGAGGTGATAAACTCCCTTAGGATTTATCAACTTAAAATGTTTTTAAATTGGTCTTACTCCCAAATAAAAAGTTATCTGTTCAGACAATTTTAGAATTAAAAATATTTTCCTTCTAAGTACCTGTTGATTATCCCTCTCTATTCAAATAGTTACTTACTATAATTGAGAAGTCTGAGTTCATTTAAYCTATTTCAATTTAATACAGATTTTTTACAATGTCTTTTTTGATGTTTGAAATTTTGACTGTGATTAGTGCAGGTGTTTTTTAATTTTTTCAATGCTCATAACACATTATTTCATCACTTTAGGAAAGTGTTTGTTATTCTATTCAAGTGATTTTTACTGCTTTTCTTCTTCRGTTCCTATTAGATATATACTAAAGAGACACTAATAATTTATACTTCATAACTTCACTGCCCTTTTAAAATTTTTCTGTATTATTTAGTCTATTTTTAGTTATATTTTTAGTGCTGCTTCCTGAAACACTTTTGTTTCTGTAACTATGTTCAGTCTAGATTACATTCTTTTGGACATTTAATTTCTGTACTTTGTACATGCTTAATGATGCTCTTCTTGTTTTATTTCAGTTTTCCTTCTTCTATTTAGTGTATTGTAGCTATCCATAATGGTGGGGTTCACTCTAGCAYATTCATAATCCTGTACTTTTTATGGTAGTACAGGTACCTTATAAATACAAAATAATCCTAATTCCTCTATCCCAACCCTTGTACTACTGCTACCATGCATTTCATTTATACATAAAATACAATGATCAAAACATAATATTGCTATTATTCTCTTGACCAAATTATTATTTTTTAGGTCAATAAAAAATAAAAAATATTGATTTATTCTTAATATTTCTTCTCTAATGCTATTTTTTTTCTTCTTATAAATCCAGTCTTCTCACCTATATCATTTTCTTCTTCTCTGAAGAACTATTTTTATTTCTTGCAAAGCAAATTCCTTCATGTTTTAGAAAGTTTTATTTCTCCTTCATATTGCAGGATGATTTCATAGGACTCAGAATTTGGGGTTGGTGATTTGGGGGGAGGGGTCTCAACAGTAAATATTTAACTCCATTCTAACCTTGTTTGTGTGATTTTTATAATTCATCTTTGCTCCTTTAGAGGTAAGATATACTTTTCCCTCTGGCTTCTATCAAGATATTTTCTTTTGTTTTTCTGCATTTTTAATATATGTGAAATTTCTTCTTTCTTTCTGTTTGTTTATTTCTAGCATTTATTCTACTTGGCATTTTCTGAGTTTCCTGGATCTTTGATTTCATGGCTGACACTATTTGAACAAATTCTCAGTCATTGTTGCTTCAAATATTATGTCTGTTCCTTTAATTTTCTTCTTGTCTTCCCATTTCACATTGATTGCACCTTTTGCCATTTCTTCACATTCCTTGGGTAGTCTATTTCTCCCCCCCACACACAATTTTATTTCTGTGTTTMAGTTTTGGAAGTTCTATTAGCATATCCTCAAGATCTGAGTCTTTCCTCACCTGTGATTAGTCTTCTAATGAATCCAGAAACACATTCTTCATTTATGTTACAGTTTTTGAGTCTAAATTTCCATCTCTTTGCCTACATTATCTTACCTTTTCTATCAGAATGTTAAGCATATCAATCAGGGTTGTTTTAAATTCCCCATCTGAACCTTCCAATAGTCTTGCCATATTTGAGTCTGGTTCTGATGATTGCTTTCTTTTCAAATTGTGCTTTTGCATTTTGGTATACCTTGTAATGTTTTTGCCAAGAGTCAAATTTACAAAAAGCGGCAATTTATTGGGTGAAAGGTGTTGAGGTAAATATTGTGAGCTATTATTTTTATCTGGCTAGGTGTTTGACTGCTTACTCTGCTGTAGCTATCAATATCTGAGGACGAATTTTGCCTGACTTTCTTATTTTTTTCCTCTCTGTTGTCTTTGGGTTCCCTTGCAGACTTTTTACATAACATCTSAGACACATAGCTCTGTGACTGTATCCCCCCATTATTGTCCAAGAGCCTTACTGACATGGTGGTATGTTGTGAGGGGAAGGGGAATATTCCGTTGTCATGATTAGGCCTCYGTCTTTCAGTGGGTATGAGTCCCTGTTGTATTACTTCAGAAATGCTTCTTAATACCACTCCCCTTGCCTTAACTTGAGGAGAAAGAAAAGCTAGAGGGAGCTGAATCTGGGAATTCTCCTTGCCCCTGTAGGAAGGCTAGAATGGATTGGAGTTGGATATTTCCCTTGTCCCTAGTCCGTTAGACTTGGGTTAAACCCTTGTGATTTACATTGTAGTGAAATGGTTTCTCTTGAGTTCAGGGCTTGTTAAGAGAAAGAGAATAGTTGAGGAGCATTTCAAAATGGCTATTTTTCCTCTCTCTTGGATGCAAACCTGAGGGGACTTTTCTCTAATTTTCACTGTGTGGACATCACAGGACTCCTGGAGGTAAAATTCAGAACAGCGTTCCCTTAGAGTTTTTAACTCCTCAGCTCATCCACACTAAGTTGTTCAGGTTTTTCCATAGAGCTTTGCTTTTAGCAGAGCTTTGTACTCTGGGATTCTGCTTTAAAGAGTTGTTATTCTCTGCATTCAAACGCCTCTCCGGCTACCAGSCTGTGGGTTTCATGGTGACCTCATTTTTTGGATGGATCTGTGAAGAACTGTTGATTTTCTGTTTGCACAGGATTTTTCTTGTTGAATGAATAAGACTGAGAACTTTCAAGCTCATTGCATGCTGGTCCCCCAAACAGAAATTTTGTAGGTTCCTTTTAACTGAGATTTKTACTTTTTCCATCCCCTCTATTCTTTCTATTTGCCTTTAAACCTTTCTATTTAGTGAATTTTTTTAAACATTACTTAGCTCCTCAAAACTTTATCTGAGTAACAGTACAAGTTTAGGGTTTCATACTTTATGATAATTCTTGGAGTTTTGCACATTTCTTTGATTAGAGTCCAGGATGGTGAATGTTTTGTGAACAGGCTTCCTTAGTCCTATTCTCTGGCTTCATTGAGCTCATCTCTCTTTTGTGACACTTTCATTGGTCAACTCCAAGCTACCACTTCTGATGCCAAAGTCTAAGAGTTCTGTGGCTTCATTTCTGTTCCTCCCTTGGCATATCCGTTCTTTCTTCACCTTGTAAAATGTTTTGTCTCTTTTTGATCTCTGTTTTCTTTCTTTGTGTTTAAATCAGAGATCAGGTGTTAATTTACTGTAGCATTTTGATTAMAATCTAACATTTCTAGTAAGAGTTATTAAAGTTTATAGTTTTTAGAAACTGCAGGAATATTTATTAACTTACAAAGAAATGAAGCATTGCAGAATTTACTTCTGAAAAATAAAGAAACCATAGAAATTTCCTTGTACCTCCGCACAGCCAATATTATTGAGTTGAGAAAAAGTCTAAATTAGTTTTCAATATCAAATGGGAAAAATCAGTTGACAATATTTTTATGCACTATAAAACCTGCAGATGCAGATGTAGCTATCTGATACTTCCATGTTGTTTGGTAAGAAAGAGATCATTTATATTGTTTTGTCTTAAACTACAAAGATGTTTTTAAACTTAAAAAGTAGAAAAATAATCAAAAGGGGAAAGAATTCTGAGAAAAGGAGGAATTCTTGAGACAGAAAGAACTCCTTTTGAAATTTAGAAGAATATGATAGTAATTTGATGGCATATCACAGATTTCTTTTAAAAGAATATTGAGGCAAGGGATAGTGACCCATGCCTAAAATCCCAGAGACATGGGAAGTTGAGGCAGTGGAATTGCAAGTTCAAAGTCAACCTCAGTAATTTAGGGTGGCCTTGAGCAAATTAGTGAGATTCTGTCTCAAAATAAGACAGGCTGGGGTGGGGTTCAGTGGTTAAGTGCACCTGGGCTTAATCCCTAGAACCAAAACAAACAAACAAATTTTAATAAAACAATGTTGAATTTCAATATTGAAGATACCATTCAATTTCGATTTTAAGAATTAGGAAATAGCTTAATACCTTTCAAGAAAATCACATGAAAATAAACACTTGTTATTTGTAGTTTATGTAATAAATTTTAAACATCCCATAATTTTAATCCTGGTTTTGAAATCTTAAGAAATACCATATTTTGTTTAGCAGAAAGCAGCTGTTTTCCTAAACTGTTTCTCTTCCCTCTGTTTTTTAGGTTACTTTGTGTGGGTTGGGGCCACACATGCTTTCCCTCTTAGCCATTTAGACAGCAGGGTTTTTTTAAACAGCTCTCTGTGTCACTGCTGGGGCAAGAGCTGCCACCTTCAATTCTCTTACTGCATGGAAAACGGTGTCCTGAGAGTGGGACTGTACCATAATGAGGTAAGAAGAAGCTAGTGCTGATTTCAAATTCATTGAAYGAGGGGAATTTCTATTCTTGGCAACTTGTGCTTCTATTTCTCAGTTCTGTGTAGGCTGTAGGCTTTAAGTATGCTATGGCTTGACAATACTTTTAAAAAGAATGATTAAGATGCCAATTTACAGAGGACTATCATGTACAAAAGTTAATGTGATAATTTGCAGGATATTATTTAATAAACTATTAAAATTCATGAAAGTCTAGTTAAGAAAATATAGTCTAATAAAAAGAGATATCTGGGATTCTATATTGYTAAGTGGGCACCAAAGCTCTGAGATGATCTGTTTTGGATTTTAGACMTATATATTATTAGAAGTATAAATATGATTAGAAATAAGCTATTTGTTTCGGTGTAAGTAGATACATGTCCAAAGACTGATAACTACTGATTAAATACAGACTAATGAGTCACTTGGATTAAAAAAAAATGTTTCATTAAGTAGAGGGATGGTAGAAAGTATTATCCTAATATATAAACCAATTTAGGCTCTTTTAACCTAACTTTAACTGGAAGCAGTCCCCTACGAGTGTGAAAATACATGGAACACTTGGAGAAATTCTATTGCGAGAATAATTGAATTTATAGAGGAGAATAAATAGCAGTCATTCTACAAATGGGAAGCATCTGGGAATAATTGCAGGATTTTTGACTGTGGAAGAAAGGAAGACAGGAAGAGCATCCAAGTGAGTTTCCTCTGGCTTAGGTCACTTGGAGTTAATTGAAACTTCCACATCAACCAGATTCGCTTTTCAACAAAAGTTCATTCAACATCTGTGCTTATCCGAATGACACTAACAACCTGTTTGTAGAATTTTCTTCTGGTCTCTTTTGTTCTGAAGTTTGGCATGTCATCCTGATTAATCCTCAAGTATCCAAATGCTTATTGGTAAAATATTTGAACCTTCAGTAGGGATGCTTTTCTTTGCCTCTTCTTCTGCTGTTTGTACCATTTCCATGATATCTGTTGTTTTTTCTTCTGCATCTTCAGGGATACTCATGGAGAATTAAGGCATAAAGTTAAACCAGAAAGTCTTTTTTTTTCAATATTTATTTTTTAGTTGTAGTTGGACACAATATTTTAATTATTTATTTATTTTTATGTGGTGCTGAGGATTGAACCTAGGGCCTCTGCCTGTGTTAGCTGAGCATTCTACCACTAAGCCACAACCCCAGCCCTAAACCAGCAGCCTTATTAGATAGTACAATACATTTGCTATGGAACACAATGGCTGGCATTCTGCGTATGGTATGGCATTTCTGAAGTAGTAGTTGACAAACAATCGTCATACATCTATTGGATCCATTTCAGTCAATTAGGCCAGGTGTGTGGGGAGGGAATGGAAGGGGACAGCATCTACATACCCTTTCTGAAGCACTACGGACTTTTCATATAAACAGGAATAATTTTTATGAAAAATTAAGCAATCCACCAAAAAGCCACAAATTAAACTTTATCTGGATATGTTAACATTCATACCTCAACAATCTTTCAKATATTGTTTTCTGTGCCATGTAAACCAGGCATAGTGAAATACCATCTAAAGTGTAACCTTCTATAATTTCTAATTTAGTCCTTCAACAAAGACATGGTGACAATTTTAGAATAATTCTGTAGAGTTTAAATTATAGTTAAATATGCGTTAAAAATATATGATCCTATGATACTACTTTTCACAAGACAAGTAATTAATATTCACTTACACGCCAAACGAATTATTACCCCAAATTTAAGTCAAAATTTCAATCATATGTTCTAATTTGGAGAATTTTAATCAAATCTGAACATCAATGATGGATATTTAAAATTTCAATATATGTATGTAATAGAGTTATGAATGATTAAAAATGAACAATATTATTCTTCTGRTGGCTTTGGGGCTGTCCAAGAAAAGACTGAAAACAAATTGTCTTCAGATGCCATATCATATAAGAATAGAGTTACTGAGATTTTGTGCCTCACAGAGTAAGAAAAGAAATCCAAATGGCAGATCTGATCTAGTGTGTTAAGCAGAAACAACTGGGTGTACACTTAGAATATTGATTCAGAGTGGGCTCATTGGATACCCAGTGTTCTACAAGACATCCTATCTTCTGATGCCCTATTTGCTGCCCTGTACATACATAACATGTCAGTTACTGATGCAAAATATGTAGGAAAGTACATTTAAGTCACAGTAGATGTTTTTATCACATACTTCAAAAGGTCTCCAAAGCGATCATTTAAAAAATCTATTTTTGAAAATTACATCTTCTTAACTCTGAGTATCTGTAAATAAATGTAGGTGTATGCACATGAACCAGGATGGATATAATGAGATTGCTTAAGATTATTTTTATTATTTTCAGAGGAGAAGGTGGGAAGCAGGAAGTAAAGGTGACGGCACTTTGTTAGGTAGAGTTTACTGTTTTGGAGTCTGCTAAAGTGTACAGCACTTCTAGTTTGTATTACCTAGCTATTCTGGCATTAGTTCTCTATGCATCATTTATAAAGTAATAACCATAGCAATAACCTAGCCTCTTTCTCGAGGAGAATTTCCAGGCCAATGAGCTATGGATAGTGGAGTAACCACTTTGTGGTACCATTTACACTGCCAAAGAGGATGAATGTGGATTAAAATGGAGAGAAAATGCCTAAGAATGTTTTTTTTTTCTTTCTTGCATTATACACTTTTAAAGCCAAAATGAGTTTTCTTTGAAAGAAGATCTTTGCCAAATTATGTGGTTCTGTCATGGATGCAATCAAAAGTAGTCAAATAAATAAAAACTAACAACTTTGAATTTGGTAGCTTTGATTTCTTCAGGGGAAGAGAGAAAAATAAGCTGATATCTCTGAAAGATGTGGTAATAAACGTTTTTTTTTTCTTGAAAGGTTAATTGGCATTATTGATCCTGGTCTGGGGTAGCAAAGATACTTTCTTAAAGTTTGTTATAGATTGATTGATTTTAAGATAATAGAAAATTAGAAAAGCCTTGAGAAGCTTTTGGAGGCTGAAAATTACTTTTTTGTATAATGACTCCTATTAAAAATAACTACATGGTCGGAGAAAAAGAACAGAGATAAAATAAAAGCGGCCCTCCTTTAGTTAGAAGAAACTGTATTTATCATTGCTTGTGTTGTCAGACAGGAGAACGTGTGTGTGTGTGTGTGTGTGTGTGTGTGTGTGTGTATGTGTGTGTGTGTGTGTGTGTGAGAGAGAGAGAGAGAGAGAAAGAAGAGAGAGAGAGAGAGAGAGAGAGAGAGAGAGAGAGAGAGAGAGAGATAGAGATAGATTGACAATCTGGATCTCACTCATAATACACCCTTAACTTAGTACATGAACAGCAAGTTTGGAAATAACTCTGCTCACTTAAAAATCAAAAAGTAAATCCACATTCACTTTCTGGTAGAACAGAGGGAACTCAGCATTGTGAAGTAAAATATCAGAATTGCTCTATATTATTTTTGTAAAACAAATGTTGGGGGAACTGCTGAACAGTTTGCCAAACAGTGTTGCTAAAAGCATCATGGAGGGTATAGCATATTGATGCTAAATAACTGAAGTTATGTCAGAAATTATTGAAAAGAATTTGGTTATATGTCTCAACATTTTTAAACCAATTCATCCTGATAGGACATAGAAACTATCAGCTGAAAATACATCTAGCTCTTGTGCTTTGCTATTCTTTGGAAGTTTGAGCAGTTGATATGAATGAGTAATGACATAAAGTGAATTTCAGTGGACTTAGACTATATTATGAAATATTGACGACTCGAAACTTTGGAATATACATCAGAGAGTGTGGGACTACATAGTAAAAAATTAATTTTTAGAAAAACTTGGATATAACTAAAATAAGTGAAGCCGAGCAAGGAGGTAAACACACGAATTTGAAAAAAAAAATTGTCATGTGTTATTAGAATTACGACTGGATGACATCTTCCAGATTGTTTTTTTATTTTACACTAGAAGGTAAACAAGGCCAGTCTCAGAGCTCATTCTAAAATATATATGTGTCATTCTTCATGTTTTTACAATACTGATACATTAAAAAAATAAATGTACCCTATTGGTCTATCTTTTCCAAGAAAATATCAAATTAAGAATGCTTGCTAAAAATCTGAAGAAAAGCCAAATTATTTCAGAGCATAAAAGCATGGTCAATAAACTCAAGAGACCAAAACTATGAGCACAATTATGGAGCATCTTATGGACTTTGATTGAGTGTCTTACTTCAAAGTATGTAGTAAAATTTTATACATTTGACAACCTAAAAAAATGATCATTATATGGTACACAACATGGAATATTCTAAAAGAGGTAAAAAGACCTTTGATGGAATGACAGAAAGAGTGAACTTAGGAACACAATCTCCAAAAAATAATTATATTGTTTGAAACTTCAATTCTCCCATTGAAAAAAAAATTAATGGAAAAGATGCAAAAATGCATCTAAACACTATTTATTAACCTTTACATTAAATGTTTGCCTGTTCTTTCTTTCTACTATCATGAAAATATTGGAACATGTAATTATGACATTGAAATCAAAATTTAAACTGCTGCTATTATCAATTGCTATTTAGAATTTGATTTTTGAAGTGCAGTTACTTTATTTCTTTTGACATTTTATTTGAATTTTTTCTGTTAATGCTCTTGAATGAAAAAAGCAGCTTTGCTCTATAGTCATACATTAATTTCTGTTTTTTTAAAATTTTATTTCACTTATTCCTTCTTACCACCAATATTTTAGATTTCCTAGTACCTAACTAAAATGTAATTAAGAGAGCACATACATGAATGTGAAGCTAGAATTTGGAAAGTGACTAATATATTTTTCTTCAAATGAAAGGAAGAAGAAATATTTTGGATGTCCAATACATCAACTCACAGCAAATGGGTGAAAGTAGATGTGTTAATACCGGAAGGTCTGAAGGCATTTAAGGTATCATAGGAAATAAACAAAAAAAAATTATCATAAGTTTAACTTTTATCTTTACAGTAGTGAATTTATCATCCATTGCTAAATTTAAATTAGTATTTAAATTAGAAATGTAGACTTGTGTATTTGGGGACAGTAATTTCATTCTTTTCATTGTACCTGGTCCTTAGCAGGTCAAATTTCCCTTGAGAAGAGGAAGTAAGGGTGCGTCTACTCTTGATCAAAGCTTGCTCATTCTCTGTGAATTTCCCTACCTCCTGCCCCCAACTCCATGCATTGCACTCACAAAACCATCTTATATTATGAAACAGATAAATAGTCAAGTGGTATTGAAAATCAGTGGAGTTATATGCACATGTATTGAATATATTAGCTCATAGGATTATAACACATGGATGATTGTCTATACCAAGATATATTTGCAGTATACATGTACTCAATGAGAGACTGGTGAATAGTCCCTTGAACAGTTAATTTGTGCTGGATTTGAGTATAAAATAATCAGACTGTATAGCTTAATAAGCCAATTTCACTTCTTTATAGTAGTACCACATGCATGTATTTCCTATGTTGTTAAAGGGATGCATTCCCAAAACACTGAGATTTTTACTATATAGACTTTTAAAATCCCATGTGTGAAGTAGTAATTTCAGAATCATAGCATATTTGAAGCCATCTTAAACTTGAGGTTCATWTCATTTTCTATTAAGTTAATGTTTTGATACCATTTATATTTTTTATAATCTGATACTTCATCTTTATAATTTCTAGAAGAGGGACTCAATGAATTTCATTTCTTTTCCACAAACTGAAGGTAGTTTGTCTTGTTATTTGACTCAAAGTAAAAGAAAGTAAAATGAAAGGAAAATAAATTGGAGAGTTATTATAGGTTTCTAAGTGCATATGAAATGTGCTTTTCAATAATGGCAGATTTTGAGACCTACATTTAATCTCAACAAGTTTTGAAAACACAAATTTTATTTCTTGTGCTTATCTGATCTCTTGCTACTGTGATAATGCCCAGCTGTCAATCCAATAATAAATAAATAATACATATATTATCTATGTACATATTTTATATATAAATGATACTGACTGTGAAAAAATACACCATACAAAAACTTGACACTATACAAACTTTTCTTAATGATTAAACATTATTGAAATGCAACATTATCTTCTAAATAAATGTTTGCAAATTAAATCAATCTAAAATAATTCTTAAATATATATATCCCTCATGTTTTTTTATGCAAGATTGATTTTTATATTCTTTAAAATTGTCTTTTTTATATTGCCTCCCTTTCCATTTTCTTGACATTTCTCTTCATGAATTTAAATACTAATTTTAGTAGTTAAAAACCAGACTTATAGCTCTTTGTGTACAGGTAATGACAGTGCTTTTATTTTCCTTGAAAATGAAATGAAAGAGAGATCTGTAAAGATGGTTCCCAAGTAACAAATTTGCAAGTCAAGAACATTTAGAAGGTTAAATGAGATGCCAAATTTATCTGATCCTAGGTGGTTTTTCAGAGGCCTCAGTAGGGCAAATATGCCCATCAGTCTTAAGAGTATGGGTTAAATTTATCAAATTGGAACCTTGTTCTCATTTGCATTTGGTTGCTCTTTAAACAGGTTCTTTTCTCAATTACTGTGTCATCTTTRTGATCCCTTTTTAGTTTTTTTTTGTATTTTAAAAGAAATTATAAATTCATAAATTGATTATTTTCCCTTACAGATAGTTTTTGAAGGTGTTCTTTTGAGCCAGAGAAGTTTTATTGGGCTTGACCAGTTGTGGGTCTATGCCTGTGGAGAGACCCTCTCCAGAAAGCTTTGTTCTGCAGAGGAATTCACCTGTGCCAGTGGCCAGTGCATTGCCCAAGATTCAGTCTGTGACTCCAGACAGGACTGCTCTGATGGGACTGATGAAGACCCAACAACTTGCTGTAAGTCAACTAATAGTTTACTTGTTGACCAGCTTTATTTCACAGCTGTTGGATTTCACAACTTGTTTGTTTCAATCAAGGTAAAGTCAATTTCTATGACATAAGATGACTGTGCGTTTTCACTCTGAAACTATTATCAGTATTCCTTTGGTGGTCTGTGTATTCATGTTTTAGTGCTTATGGCTAAAGTTGCAGAATCTTTCTATTTGTTCAAAAAATAGATACAATTAATGTTGTGTCATTGTGTATGTGTGGTGCACATGTACTTTGGTTAAAGAAAAAGATGGATGTGAGAGGGAACCTCTTTGTACTTTCCCTTTAGAGACACAAATTATGGGTTGCTAGCCTTTGTTAAATGTTTTCTTTCTTACTTTCTGAACCTCTTGGATGCAGAAGAGAAGGAGAATAAAGAGAAGGGCTATCATTGCCTCCAGGGCAGCCACTGTGACTGTAGAAATCACTTCCGCCATCGTTGGCAATCATGAGGGCAAAACTAGACCAACACCTTCCTTTCAGGCCTCTTATGAAGAATCTTTGATAGGAAGGATAATGAGAGATCCCATTACTATTCAAACCCAGTCATATTTCAAATAAAATGAAATTTAATTTACAACCCACATGAAGTTTCTCATATGAGGTAACTTAGCAACTCAGATTCTTGTGTCTTTTTAGCAACCATGAATTCCAACAAAATGAATCTATTTTCTAGGCCACAAATAAGGGTTTTTTAAAAATATATATTAAAATTTTGACATTTATTTTGCTGCAGCACCTTATTTTAGTGAGATATTTTGTTGATCAGGAAGAAATATTGYAGTAAGATAAGTGTCACCTTTATAATGAAAAGATCCTTGTACTGCACACTTCTCCTGGTGGGGGAGTAAGGATTTCATTAAGAGCAATGAAGAGGGACATTGGGAGGAGATGATGGGAAAACAAGGGAGAAATCCTTCTGGCCTACCTGTAATCAGCAATTCAATTTATTCTTCAAACACCTCACTTATTAAGCCAAATAAACTCTTGACYAATGTGATTTCAGTGGAGTTTTTAGGTTAGTTTTCTTTTTTCATTGAAAAAGAATAAAGTGAGGAGCATTTATTTCTCTAATGTATGCAATATTCCTTTATTTAAAAATTTAAAGAGACAATTTGGTTCATTTCTGTTGAGGAAATTCATCTTTTTGACAGCTTCTTGATTGAAACAGCTGAAAAACTACATATTTCTTTGCAATTATGCATTTGGAAACTTAACTTCTTTCCTTCTATTTTTTCCCTGTAGTAAATGGTTCTATGTTCTCTTCCTTTTGCAGGTTTTCTTAATAAAATTCCTGTCTGGAGTATTAGTTGATTTTTAGCATTGATTTTGTCATAGTGTCTAACTTCTCTTCCATTATGGAAGTTTCATTGACTGCTAAACTGCATTTTTTTTCACTGGAGTAGATCTCAATACTATTCTGCTATATCCTTGAGTGAATGCAGGACAGATGGCTATGTTTTTCAACATAATTTCACTTGGTCTTTTAAGTGTTCCCAATAATGTCACCTCTCAGTTGTTCAATGAAAACTTCTCATATTTGCTTGGTTGAGTCAACTCGATGTAGAGGATATGACATAAAAATAAAGTCTTATTACATATATTATATGTGGATGTATTCACATAGCTTGATGCAAAATGAATATTTCATATAAATGTTTGTACAATTACTATTGCTCTGGGGAAATTACATAGAATTCAGTTATTCAAATTGATCTAGATACATACTTTTTGTACTAATATATTTAATGTGCATATGCATATACACATATATGTTCACATATAGTCTTCCAAAATGAGAACCTTCCATTTAAAAATACTTCGAAATATTTTACACACATTTCTATTTTTTTTTAATCTCCAAGTGCCTGGAGCACAAACAAAATGCCTTCCGTCTTTCTTTTTATTTCACTCAGAGTGAATCTCTAGGATGGTATAGCTCAAATACACAGCTAAGGGGCTCCAGGAATATTTTCCACAGGTTGGRGACTGAAATAGTAAACTTGTGAAGATTGTCAGTTGGTGCTCTGTCACCAGTGTGTGTTTCCTGAACGACACACTCACTCAGTTTCTCTTTCAGTCCCAAGCTGTCCTTACATTGGGACTATTTTGATAAATCTACTTACTGAGCCTCTAGCTCAGTGGCTTTTCAACAACAGGCAAATGAAAGGGTGGCAGGGTTTGCTGGTGTTTTGCTGCTTTCCTGTACTACATGGATTCCAGCAGCAGCAGCAGCATCTGGGAACTGGTTCAAAAAGACAGAACCTCAGGCTTTAACACAACCCTCTAGATTGAAAGTCTGCATTGCAATGGTGTCCCAGGTGATGCATTTGGATGCTAAACTTTGAGAACCACGGTGCCAAAGAGACTTTGAAAATTAGGACAGTTGAGGGAAGAAACAGATGGCATGTAAAAACATTCACATAAAAACTGAAGGCAAACTAGTCCAAAGGCTCTCAAGACAGAAGCCTAAACTCATGACTTCACCAGTCCCCAAGAGCATCACTGGAATACCAAACAATAGGTTTCTAACGTTTATTAGCAGGATCCCGCATAAAATGAAGACAGTGAATATTCAAATATATCTGCACCCCATGTTCACTGCAACCTCACTCACCATAGTCAAGAGATGGAAACAACTTCATCCTCTTGATGGATGACTATGAATCAAAAAGTGAGCTGTGTATGAATTTTATTCATTAATAAAGAGAAGGAAATCCTACTATGTGCAACAACAAGGATGAATCTGGAGGACATTATGTTACGTGAAATGAGGCAGACGAAGATAAAAACAGATGATAGTATTTATATGTGCATCTCAAAAAAAATTCAAACTCAGAAACAAAGTCCAACAGTTGTTGCTGGGTGCTAAGGGTTGGGGAAACAGGAAGATGTTGGTCAAAGGTACTAAATTTCAGGAATAGGTGTAACAAGTTCTGAAGATCTGATGTACAGAATGGTGGTATAGTTCATGATACTCTTGTAAACTTGACATTTGCTCAGAGAGCAGATCTTAGTATTCTCACCACATGTGTGTATTGTACGCACACATACACACTCAAATGGCACCTGTGAAAGCTGATAGATGTATTAGCTAACTTGATTATGGTAAATAGTGCACTATACATACACACATATATAAACATAGTATATATCCTAAATATATACAGACTGTCAATTATACATCAATGAGCTTGGGAAAAATAAAATATATGTAATGCTTAAAAACATTCCTATCAGAATAATTAAAATATAGCATGTGCCAAACAAAGTAAAGGTCTACAGCAGATAAAAAATTCACACATGAACTAGATCTAATTCTCAAACACATAGTACAACATGGATGAACCTTGAATATATTATGCTAAGTGAAATAACTCAGACAGAGAAGGGAAAACAGGGTATGATCCTGTTTTTATGAGAAACCTAAACTAGAAAGCTTCACAGAGACAGGAGGTAGGATGGTGGTTGTTGAGCTGAGAGAAAGGAATACTGGAGTTGGGGTTAAATGGATATGGAGTTCCGGTTTGAGGAGATGAGAGTTCTAGAGATGGATGATGGGGATGGTTTCTCAGCCATGGGAACATACTTAATCCTACAGAACTTTGCACTTAAAATTATTCACAATAGCTAGACTGTGGAACCAACCCAGATGCCCTTCAATAGATGAATGGATAAAAAAAAAATGTGGCATTTATACACCATGGAGTATTACGCAGCACTAAAAAATGACAAAATCATGGAATTTGCAGGGAAATGGATGGCACTAGAGCAGATTATGCTAAGTGAAGCTAGCCAATCCCTAAAAAACAAATGCCAAATGTCTTCTTTGATATAATGAGAGCAACTAAGAACAGAGCAGGGAGGAAGAGCAGGAGGATAAGATTAACATTAAACAGAGACATTAGGTGGGAGGGAAAGGTAGAGAAAAGGGAAATTGCATGGAAATGGAAGGAGACCCTCATTGTTATACAAAATCACATATAAGAGGTTGTGAGGGGAATGGGAAAATAAGCAAGGAGAGAAATGAATTACAGTAGATGGGGTAGAGAGAGAAGATGGGAGGGGAGGGGAGGGGGGATAGTTGAGGATAGGAAAGGTAGCAGAATACAACAGTCACTARTATGGCATTATGTAAAAATGTGGATGTGTAACCAATGTGATTCTGCAATCTGTATACGGGGTAAAAATGGGAGTTCATAACCCACTTGAATCTAATGTATGAAATATGATATGTCAAGAGCTTTGTAATGTTTTGAACAACCAATAAAAATTATTTAAAAAGAAAAATTTTCTCATACACACACACATATATATGTACATATGTATATATACAAACACTAATTTTCAATAAGGATACATGGAAAAGATTATATATTAAATTCTTATCCACCATAATCCAAAAAAAAGATGGAATTTAATATTTAGTGATCTGTGTTGAAGCCAAAATGACTTGGGAAATTCTGTGGGAAATGGCTTTTTTTTTAAGGTAGAACTTTCAGATAATTTAAAAGCTACTATGAATTATAAATCTTCACAAAGGAAATTGGCATAATATTCAGGTAAAAGAAATGCAAACCCAGGGCACTATACAATGCATTTGATTTTTATTATAATATTATCACTAGAAATCTTTCACATTTAGAAAAACTAATTGTTGAATACTAAAATATTTCCTGAGGGGTRGGAAAAGACTGTATTCATCTATATAGTTTAGTGTATCAATGACCCTTGTGAGTTTTCAATAAATATTAACAAAATATTTATTATTATATTTATTAAAACCTAATACATGTTCACCAAATGAGATGTTCCTCATTCTTTTATCATAGAGAACTGAACTGGAGGTTTCTTAAATACTTGATATTTTATGATCCGAAATTTTTCTCAGCTGCTACAATGAAATTCTTTTTCTTGTGCCCATATGCTACCATGGTTAAATATGTAAGAGAGAGCTCTCTCTGAAT